GCTTGTAAAATCTTATAATATCTTATAAATACCTTGTAAATACGTTGTAAAACCCTTTTAAAATACATTGTAAAACCTTATAAATACCTTGTAAAAAACCTTTAAAACACCTTGTAAATTTTTGGCGGGAAAAATTTTCCCGCCAAAACTTTAACGCCAAAAAAATTGCGGAATTACTTTTCCCGCAAAAAAAATTTTTTGGCGGGAAAATTTTTTGGCGGGAAAAAATTTTACGGGAAAATTTTACAAGGTATTTTAAAGGTTTTACAAATTTTTACAAGTGTTTTGGCGGGAAAAATTGGGGGATCACTTTTCCCGCCAAAAAAATATTTTGTATTTTGTGGACCTAATTTTGTTATATTTCCTTATATATTTATAATATCTTTTATTAAAAGAAGGGTAATTTAGTCATTTTGTACATAAAAGGGGTATTTTTAAAAATGGACATCCAAAAGGGGCATTTTTGAAAAGGGGTATTGAAAAAGGGGCATTTTTGTGAGTCTCCCTTATATCATCTATATAATAAAAAAAAAGTAAATTTTTTTCCGCATATACCAAGATTTGAATTTTTAAAAACGAATATAAATTATTCAATGTATGAAAAAACAAATTTAACGGGTCAAAAATTCATAATTGAGTAATATATTCCTTTTTTTTAATATCATAAATACTTAATAGATCAAAAATTTATGAAGTATAAATACTCTAATTTGATTTTTTGAAACAAATATTTATAATAGGCGGTAAGTTGAATATAATATATTATATGATGAAATGAGTTATGATCCTTATAACTATTTGAATATTTATATTTAATTTCATATCATTTTTTTTAAATTCATAATTTTACATACTACAAAAAAATTTTTAAAGAGTTTAATTTGAAACATTTTTAAAAAGTTTAATTTAATATATTAAAAAAATATCATAAATATTTAATAGATCAAACAGATAAAAAAAATTATAAATACATTAATTTGATTTTCTAAAATCATATGTTTAAAATATTTATATTAGGCGGCAGGTTAAATGTAATGTATTATATGGTAGAAAGTTATGATCCTTATAACAGACTGCATTTTAAGATTTTATGATGAGATGGGTTAAATAAGGTTTGACACTTCTAAATATTTGAAAATTTGATTCTTCAAGCAATTTTGAAAATAATAAATAATAGATTGTGCCGCAATATTTTCATAGGGATTGTAAAATGAAAATATAGACTCCACACACGGATTGAATTTGGTATTATTATATACCAAATATATGTTCATAACATATTTGATTATGTGAATAATTGGTAAATTCCGTAATTAGCTCAAACAAATCTCTATTTCAACAACCAATGAATCAGAATTTGAAAAAATAATTTCCTAAATTAATTCAAAATAATAGCTAATTTTCTTAAGTAATTCAAAATAATCTACGTTTTAGATGCGATTCATTTATGATATTTTGATTTTTGATCTAACTAAATTATATGCACTCTCATATAAATATATATATATATATATA